TCCCGCACCTGCTGGGCCCGCGCAGCTCCCTCCTGTGCGGTTCTCCCCCTCACCGCCGCCTGGCATGAAGCCCACCCACTGTATGGGACGAGGCTTTTAGAGCCGCCTCTCTAAGAAAAGCCCCCGAACTCCGTGGGGCAGGCCCTGTCCTCGGCTGACCCTCGGTCACCAGTCAGGTCATCGGATTTCAGAGCGTTCAGCGTGGCCAGCTCCCATGATGCTGGGGTCTCCTGACCCAGGGCTGCTTTGATCTGTCCCCTCCCCGTATCCCCTCCTTAGCATCTGAGGGTGCCCAGCACGAGGGGTGCAGTGGGGAGGTCACAATGGGCCACCAGAGCGGGTGCTCCTCAGGGCCAGCTCCTTCCCGGTCCCACAGCGACGGAGAATCGAGGGACCGACCTGAAGTGGCCACACCTCAGGAAGCCCACGCTGGCCAAGGAGGGAGGTCAAACGGGCCAGGCCGACCCGGACTCCGGCCACCCACGTCTGTCTGAGCTAGAGATTCACGCGAACCACAGATGAGGTCAGCGCTGGGTGAACCTGAGTGTCCCCGGAGCAGCAAACGGAGGCCAATCAGCTGAGCGTGGGGCCCGGGTTTCGAGCCAGGGAACCCTTTCTGCTCAACTGTCATCGAGGCCGGGCATGGTGATCCCCCTCTGTCCCCGGGCCCCCAGGTGCCGTCCTCGGCTGGTAACCCTTTGGGCGCGTTCCTCAAGGCCTGCTGGTGAGTCTGGGCCCTCTGAAGGTGCAGGGCGTCTCCCACCGCCTCAGCTCGGCCGGCATGAACCGTGTCTGCGACCCGCTGAGCTGGGCTCCCGGAAGGAAAACCCTCACCCTGGGGCTGACTGTGGACTGAGGGCCTCTCACTCCCAGGAATTGTTTGTTTTTAATACGTTTTTATTGATTTCAGAGAGGAAGGGAGAGGGAGGGAGAGATAGAACCATCCATGGTGACAGAGAATCACTGGTCAGCTGCCTGAGATTCAGTGGAGAGAAGGCTTAAACGTCTCTGTTACTCCTTTGGTTGACCAAAAAATGCATACCTCCTACTGGAGATGGAGCCTGCGACCCGGGCCTGTGCCCTTGACCGCGAATCGAACCAAGACCTCCTGGTTCATAGGTTGACGCTCAATCACTGAGCCACGCCGACCGGGTGCGTCTCAGGAATGTTTATCTCCTGTTCACAAAGGGAAGGAGAGCCACAGCCACGAGGACTTGCCTAAGGGGCCAACAGCTTCAGGATCTCCAGATCCTGCGGCCAAGACAGAAGCAGACCCAGGGCGCGGACTGCGGCCAACGTGTCCACCGCTTCTGAACCTGGTTTGTGTTGCTCAGCGACGACAGTCCTGGGAGGGGGCCATGACGCTCCCACTTGGCATACGAGGAAACTGAGGAGCACCTATCCTGCCTGGGTCACCCCACCAGTAAGGACGGGGACAGATGGAGCCTGCTCCTGCCTGACCCCCCCCCCCCCCCCCCCCCCCCCCCCCCCCCCCCCCGCGGGGGGGGGGGGGGGGGG